CTCAATCTGCATGGTGGGACGTCCTAAAATAATGTTTTATTTTATGCTGCTGCCTTTAGTAAAGAGGTAAAAAAATCATAATAAGCTAAAAATCCTTCATTAGCAATGATAGTGTAGGTAAGGGTTTACTGTCTGTATGCAACCATGACAGCAGCTGATGCAAATTTTGTTAGATTTAGAACTGATGTGTGTGTGAGACAACCATGTGAATTTGAAATTTATGACAACATGTGAAAAAACTTGTCCCTTATTTTATCAATATGTAACCCAATATTTGACTGCCAAATAAAGGAAGGTTGGCATTTAATGGGATGGCTTGCAACCCTGATATGGCTGCATCAATGTCTATTGTAATAGCCTCAGTATATTGGACATCCTCTCTTCCTCTACACTACGCACAACTCCAACAAGTCCATTTTAAAGACAGTGGCAAACACTGTGACATGACTCTCCTTTAAAACAACAGATTAGAGCTGTGTGAACTTAAAGTCATAGGGAAGCGGCTGTTCCAATGGTTGCAGTTCCGAATTCTCCTGAGTGGAGCACAACTTTACACGAGTAATTAAACTGAATGTGAATGGCCGGTTTGTCAGAAGCATCTTGCTAACCAGTTAGCAACTTAGTGCTAGTAGGTTCCCAATGGGAAATTCCATTGGGACCAAGTAGCACTAAATTGGTGACTTAGAAACGACACTGTCAAGGAACGCTATGGACAGAGGAAACATGCAAGAGGAGGAGAGTTTAGTGTCGGAGGTCGTGAATGAGTCTCCTCCTTCATACATTTTTTATTTAGAGGACGAAAGCGGGGACGAAGATGTTGTGGAAGAGGACGCCAGGGCGGCAGAAGCTTGGTTTGGTGTAGAAGGCTTACAGCCGTACATGTTTGAGCCCTTGCCTCGCAACGCTGCCAGTTCTGTTAGCTCTACGCCTGCTGAAGACACAGACGTCCATCCCCATGAACACTGGGACGGAACTCAATGGGAAAGGAAATGATTCTGATTTCAACCATTGCGTATATTAGCTGCGACATATGAAACAAGATGCTTTGATTGACAGATGACCGTTGATATATGATTGGCCGAAATTAGGTGAACAAGCTGATATATAACTAACTGGCCTGCATAAGATAACGAAGAAAAAAAAACCAGCTTGTACAAATAGAAATTTTCTAAATTTTAGGACAATATCGTTTGATAAAGAGAACATTTATATCACAGAAGTTTCCCTACCACTTTAAGGTGGAAAATGATGACTGGTTAACATCATGTCTTAAAATACCACCTTAAAGCTCTGAAATACGAACTGCTTCTACCAAAACAAGACTACCTCCTCACACACACTCTGACATACCGACTTACAGGGCAGCAGATCCTGAAGGTCACCCCCTAGAGGCTTCCTAAAGGTGCAGTTATGGAGGAGGGGGTGTGTCTTGTTGCTCATTCAAATGCCACCTCGTGGTCATATGACAGAATTCAGTCAAGCTTGGTGGTTTCTATATTTACTTTCCAACTTCTGAACCCCCACTGGGTTTGAGAATGCTGTAACGTGATTGGACGTCTGAGAAGGAGGGTCTGCATTTAGTCAACCAGGAGAAAGTTCATGACAAACTTATCTTTGAACCAGATTTCTATAGCCAGCACCTCCTTAATGTTTAGACGTAACAACAGAAATGCATGGATGCTATATAAGTCTTACAGGACACCATGGTTCTCATACGTTTTTACAACATATCTACACGTGTTTACTGCAGAAGGTATAAACTCCACCACTCTAAGTACGTAACAGAGTCATTGCATTAATGTCAAAGACACAGTCCTCCTCTTTCAATCCACCCTCTTGCTACATATTGGGGTACTTTGTACCAGACAAAGACAGAGGCTATATTGTATAGTGTATTACAGAAATATAACAACCCTTAATACAGTCTGCTAATATTTATGATGACATTTAAGTCTCTTCAAGTTCCTCATCAGAGTTTAGGTGTGTGTGGGAGAGTCTACAAGAAAAAAACCTCAACAGTATCAGTTCTCATTGTTCATTCTTTAGCTAAATAGCAAATAAGCATATTGATCGGATAAAAAACAAAAAATATATATTGTTTTTTTTTTGTGTGTGTCTTGTGTTTATAATGTAAATCGGAATGACAATGTTGGTAAATAACAACATTGTAAGCACATTTTAACATAATAAGCACATTTTAACTTTTTTGGCCTACATACTGTATAGAGTCTTAGTGATGGTTTAAGCTCTTTAGTGGGTTTTTGTCTTCCTTTTCCACTGCCTAACCAGCTCTAAATTAATCAAATAAAGAGAGTCAAATCCTTATTTAAATTTTCAATAGATAACAGGGACAGATGTAATACTTTTTGGGTCGTTATAACCCACCATAGCCAGCCATTGTTTGTCTTATCTGCTCACTTAGCTTTACCAATATTTGCTTGTTTGCTTTAAGAGCCATATTTTAACTTGGAGCATAGCTACTAGTATATAAGTGCAAAACAAATGTTACCTTTGGTCCAGAACATTACCTCCAAAATTATGCCTTAAACCTCCCCCTGGGTAACTATCGTTCCTGCTCTCCCTACTGTATTTTCAAATGCAGATCTATTTTTTTTTTTTTTTACTTAGGATAACCAAAGCTATTCATATTTTCTGATGCCATAATGAATGAATTTAATTAATTATTTTTTATTTCAACCAATTAATAATAAAAAAAAAACCGCATGACACTTGTTGTGAATTGTTGCCAATTCATGTCCTTTGAAGGCACTTTGTAAAGTCAATTTAATCAAACCCCACAAGTCTTGCCCAACATTTGGTACAACCTCCAGAGATGTGACGGTTTATCAGTTCTATGAACAGTATGGGGATATTCAGCAGTTGTACCATTTAGGAAGTATCACAAAGCCAAAGTGTTTTGGTGCAAACTGAGGGACTTGTGAAAATGTTAGCAAAAACTAAAACATGGATCACTTTTTCTACAAAAAAAATAAGTCCTGGAACAAATGAAATAAAAGGCATCTTTTTATAGGAAGAAGCCATTAATTTTAAATACATAAAAAAAATCCACATTACCTATGCAAGAGATTTGAGGGACAGATACCAGCTGGCCTTGTTAGATGGCCGCTCACACTGAGCCTGGTTCTGATTGAGGTTACTTCCTGTTAAATGGGAGTTTTCCTCTCCACTGTCGCTACAAGCATGCTTGGTGTGAGGGATTGCTCTTGAGTAAATGAGTCGATGCGATCAGCTATTTTTTTTCCTTAGATAGAAAACTTTGAATCGATCTGACTGTATGATCTGGTTGAATTGACTCTGTAAAGTGCCATCTAAATTTGTATATACATTTATACATACATATATTATCCATATTCAGGTCACAGTTTGTTTGTTAATATCTGTAACTGCCTTGCGTGCAGAATAGTCAAATTACAGCAAGTATCTTTTGAGCACATCCTCTTCCACAGGGAACCAAAGATTCCCAGCCAATGTGCAGCGTCTTCTGAAGGCATCTGTTGATGACTGTTTGCAGTTCCAGTGATTTTATTAATGTAATTGTTTTCCTCCTGTTTGTGTGGGTTGTGTTTTTGTGTGTTTTCCCTCCACCACCAGGTGGCGCCTGGTTCTCGTTGGCCCTCTCAAATTCCTGCGGATGGTTACCTCATTACCGGAGGACTCTTAAGCTGCTGACTGCTCCTACCTCGACGCCAGAGTGTTTGCCAGTTTTGGGTACTCTAGCCAAGCTGAGTTTTGCTGAGTCAAACTGAGTTTTTGTCAACCTGAGCCTAACCTTGTTGTTTTTGTCTTTGCCTCTCAGCAGGAAGTCATCCTGCACACTGGATGTTTTGGACCTTCTCCCCCCGGAAGGATCGTCTGAGCTACAAACTGAGCTGGGGATTCAAACTGGAGGTTCGGATCTACTTTTCCCCAAGGAATTGTTTGAGCTACACTCTGAACAGGGAATTCATCTCCACAAGAAACCGTTCAAGTACCATAGGAAATCCAAGTGGCAGTCAGCTCCTACATTCCTCAAGGAAACACCTCAACCTGGGTAAACCCTGTTCGCCCTCCAGGGAACAAGTCTATTACTGGAACAACCCACACTGACTGGATTCAGCGAACAACACCTTTTTCTGGAAACTTGAGTCCTGTTGCCTTAATTCCCTTTGCAATCGAAGCTCAAATTTCCCACTGAGTCTGAACTAACCGCAGGAACTTCCCTTCACTTTTCAGTTCCGGTTCGCCAGTGTTCTGAGCAGCACTGGACCGATCCCTACCAGATCTCAATAAACCTGATAAACCTTCTACTGGCTCCATAAAGGAGAACTGCCTTGATTATTTCTGAGGCAATGAAAGGTTTAATGGTAGAGCAGGTACCCCATAAATGGAGGCAATAAACTCCCAACAAAACCACCAAGGTTTCAGATCTTCTCTGCCTTCCTTCTTTCTCTCAGCCCTTTGATTACTTCCAATAACCACCAATAGAAACAAACCTTTGTTTGTATCCAGATGTAACTTAACTGACTGAACTCTCTCCATGCTTCCCTGCACAAGCCTTCACATCTGAATGACCCTGTTTGGCTAAAACGCTCATCAGGTAAGTGAATTAAAGTGGGTGTCATAGGCTTTACAGTAGTTCTTGACAGAAAGCTTCAGTCCATCATTGATGGTGAAAAGCAAAGCAGAGACATTTGAAGACATTTGGTTTCTTTCCAGATCCAGGTAGATCCTTTTCACCAAGCCAATGGAAAACCATCCTTTTGCTCACATTCTGTATTCATGGTAAAAGAGAAGGAAACTAACCCTTTTTTAACTACAGTAAAGCCAGTTTTACAGGAAGATATAATAGAGGACAAAATAACAGTTCAGTCTACAGTACCTGCACTGGTATAACTTCTAAAGAAAAATTCAGTGTCTGACTGATCACTACCTGAGCTTAATGCCATCATCTTAAGCATCAAAACAGCATAAAAAAATAAAGCAACGAAGCAACAGTTTTGTTTTACTGTTTAATTTGTGGAGCTTTATCATTGTAGAGGGCTCAGGGTTAGTATTCATTTAAGGTAGTCATGGTTAACATCTTCAGGTGGTCAATGAGTAGAAGATCAAAACCATAATGTAACTCATAATTTAAACAAAGGGTTTGGTATTGATTAAAATAACCTGCTTTTTTATTCTTGAATTATTTTGAGGGGTAAAAATGTTTGCCTTCATCTTGATAATTGCTGGAAACTCCATGCCAGCTCTCAGGAAAAATATAAATATACTAAAAAGGTTTCTCTGAAGGCTCAATATTTAATGATACAAAGCTGATATATGGAACAACACTTCATTAAATCTTTATATATATATATATATATATATATATATACACATTTTATTATTTTACACTATATTTACAGAATTGACTACTGAGTTGGGAAGGGACTTGATAACGCTGGTGGGTGGCAGTTTGGATGGATTTATGAGTGGCAATATTTATGATTTAAGAAAATCTGGGTTACTTAAAGTGACATTAAGATGATTGTCTGAGCTAAAGTTTTATGTATGTTTTTGTCTATGCCCATCTGCCACTCGAAGCAAAGTTCCTGCTCATGCTGTAGATCTTGGTTGAGCTTTTATGTTTCCCCCAGGCTCCAAATGGGATGATGACGATGGTGGCGTTGTCCTCCGAGCCATACTGCAGAGCCTGAAACAGAATTTTATCCACTTATTTGGGTTGGATGACGTTCGTTTCTCAAAGAAATGCTGATAATAACCTGGACTGATCAAGTTTCACATTTGTCATTTATTAATAAACAAAGTTCAGATGCCAAGAGCCCAAAAAGAAAAGAATATTTAAACCCTAGAAATGTATGACTGCTTAAAGATTTAGAGTTAAAAGGGTTAAATGTCTTTCAATGACTGTAAATGTTTTGCAGTGTTAAAGGGGTCAGTTTACTGGATGTATCTATAATGTAGAGGATCTCAAATTTGAGTTTGGACCATCTCTGGTTTCTGAGAACAACACAGGTTGAAGCTCAGTTATTCTCAAATTATGTCTAAATTTCTTAGAGTTATCAATGTTTTCTCTACAGTCCTTTGCAAATATATACCAAAATAAATGGATTTTGCATTGCACGTCTTTTGCATTATTGCCTATTACTTTGCTCTATTAATGATCTACCTGCTGAGAAATGATTTCTGCTGCTTCAGTGGGATCTTGACACTGGTTGATGACATCACAGATCTCCTGATCACTCAAAAGGAAGTTAATACCATCTGTGGTCAAAGCCAGGAAGGAGTCATTTGCATGTTGGACCTGCAGACATGGAGGATGTCTATGTGACATGCTTATCCAGAGCAATAATAACCTAACTGGCTAGCTGTCAGAAGTCTACAGATCCAAACTGACTGGGAAATGATGTTAAGTTTGGATAGCACTCACCGAAAGTCGACGTGTTTCCGGTTCTGCGATTACGCCGCTGGATTTAAGGTGGAAGTCTCCGATACTGCGCGTCATGGCGAGCCGCCCGTTAACGTTTGCTTGACCGACGCTGTTCCATGACAGGAAACCACCAAACCTTTGGATCCTGAACATTAAAAAATTAAACAGGATCAGTTATTATTCAAGCAAAACTATGAGGCATTTAAATATACAAATCACTGGTTGTGTGTTAATTTAGTTCATTTTGTGTTTTAAGAGCATATTAGAATACTTTCTAGAATTGACAAGATGGTTCTGACAAACCCACCCATCAGCAATCTGTTGACTTGGCTGTGGGTCTAGATACGGCCGAGGCGGTGAGAAACTTGGGGCAGGTTTGTTCGACAATGGAGGGACATGAGGGCGAAAAAGAGCGAGGTAGAAAAAGGTTCCCATCATTCTCTTGCACCTCGCTCTTCTAGCTGATCCATCTTCATGAGATGTTTCCACAATGGTGGTCAAATAAACAAAACAAGCCGGTACGGTACCAAACAGGATATACGCATAGTGTAGAGCGGATATAGATTTGACCAATCAGCAGAGATGGCAAAAGTACTCACTTTCCATACTTGAGTAAAAGTACAGATACTTGTGTTAAAAAATACTCTGGTAAAAGTGGAAGTACTGATTAAACTTCTTTACTCAAGTAAAAGTAACAAAGTACAGGCTTGTAAATTTACTTAAAGTATAAAAGTAAAAGTAGAAACCACTTTTTTCATGCCGTTGCCTACATTTTAAATGGATGTCTACCAATAGGACTAGATCTCCGTTGTGTTCATTTTCAATCATCTCGTCGTCCATACTACTATGCTAACGCCACCGCCACCAAGCTGCAATGATTTGCCGCCAATGAATACCGCCGAATCTGTCGATTCATCTTGTAGTGGTGCGTCAAATGCAACGTAGATTCCCATCCAATTAGATTGAATTTGGTATTGATGACGTGAAAAATAACGGTAACTCCATTGAAATGATTCAAAACTAAAGTAACGAGCCAATTTTTTAAAATGTAAGGAGTAGAAAGTACAGATATTTGTGTAAAAATGTAAGGAGTAGAAGTAAAATGTCGCCATAAAAATAAATAGTAAAGTAAAGTAAAAATATCAGAAAAATCTACTTAAGTACAGTAACGAAGTATTTGTACTTCGTTACTTCCCATCTCTGCCAATCAGAGACCTCCTGTCTGCGGCACTGTCTGCGGTCGCCTACATTTTAGGAGAGGTGCACCAGAGTGTCTGCAGTGGGAGCATATTTGCGTTCACTACGACACACACGCAGACGACCTGGTTTCTGAGTATAAATCAGCCTTTAGATCTCCATGGGAACAGCAGATCAGCTGGAAGGGATGGCCAATGATTGGCTCGCAGTGGCCATGGCCCCCCTGCTCCCCCTTTAATAAGGAATTTGCTCACTTTATAAATTATAATTTTGCCTGATATAAAAAGCAGTTTCTTAGAGTATCACACAATTTGTTGAAGATTGATATGATTAGATAATTTACTTAAACTAAAACAACTCTTCTGCTTTAGCGTACTCACATGAACAGCTTCTCTGTAAAGACTTTATTTTCCCCAGCACTAAATGATTATCCCGTTTGATTGATGTCCACAGCTTGATGGGGGCTCGCTCTGCTGTTAGATAACACCAGCTGCTTATAGCTGAAGGGAATCCCAAACCTGTCGACCTGCAGCTCTGCTCCTATTTCAGCTCCTGGATAAGCTTTATGAATACTGACTTTCACACTATTTATACTCGGCGAGTTGATCAACTGTATGGGAAACCTGAACCGTAGTGTTGCTGTGTATGCTCTGAAGCTGAAAGTCCTCACAGCAAAACCTCAAACCAGACAACAATACTGATGAATCTATGATCAGCAAACTATGATGGAAGGAGCTGCAGGGAGGTTTAACTGCATTAACAGAAGACTGTTAAGGCCTAGTCTCTATTTGGTTAGAGCTTATGTTTTAAGCAAAGGATTTAAAATCTCCAGAAACCTTCATGCTTAAATAAAGAAGCTTTAAATCATTATTAAGTAGAAGATAAGGTCAACCACTATGAATCCTAGAAAAGGAAATCACATTGACTTTTGGGTAGGTAGACTGCGGAGGATTAGAAGTGTGTGTTTTATTAGTTGGCAAATAAATACCAAGGCAATATTCTGTAAAAAAAACAAATAAGCAGAGGTGGATAAATGCGGCTCCAGGGTGCAAAAACCCTGCAGAGGTTTAAGTGATGGAAAGCAACAAAGTAAATGTGCTTGATTTACTTTTTTTGAGTATATCTTTAATTCAAAACCTGGCAGATAGCAGCCATTAGGACTGAAACTGGACATCAATGTTTTAGAGGATATTATACATAGCTGATACATTTTTTTATATCTGTGCAACTATACAACTGTATAGTTTATACAGTTATACATACTTGCAACTATCTCAGAGCACAAGCGCACTGTTATAACCCACTAGGCTTATAGTGTCCATAAATAATGTAATTATTGTACTAAAATTACTTATTTCTATCCTTAACTCCCTAAAGAATTCTAATATACATCTTTGAAAAATGCTTTATGAGTTTTCTGAGACACTTTTTATGCTTTTTACATCTTCGTTAAACTGCTTCTCTAATGTCATCATCATACATGCTCAGAGCGGTCCAGCAAAATATGATTAAACCATGTTTATCTTCATTTTAGCTGTTTCTTTCTTTAGATTATACATAATATACCATAATGTTAACAAGAAAAGGAAACATAAAACCTAAAAAGACTAGATTTATGTTTAAATGCAAAGCTGAAAAGTTAACTCCCCAAAGGAGCAAAGGATCCCATTTCCAGTGCAGATCAGGGGCAGATGAGCAATTAAACAGACAGAATTTTAAGTCTTTTTTTTTCTCAGGAAATACATTATGAACCTTTATAGTTTAGTAAGCTTACTATTTTTGTGAAGGGAAAGCAGGGAAGAAGGGAAGCATACATAAAAATTGTGAGAAGTTCGGTATCCATTCTTTGCCTGTTTTTGTCAACTGTAATGGTTGCTAAGCAACAGAGCATAAGGCCGGTGAAAGCTAGAGAAGGCTGGACCTGTTTGAATCCAAGACCAAATCTCTTCCAGCCTCCTTATTTTCCAGAACCTCGAAGGACCCAATCCTTGAAGACCGGCTCCTTGGAGGATGCAGCCTTTGAAATCGAACACACCCTGTGTTTCACAAGAGGTTTATTTTTGACAACAACCCATGCAGCAGCAACTGTGAGTATGCTGATTAAAATGATGATAATTTATTTTTTTATTCATGGATAATATGAAAATGAAAATAGTTTGCTGTTTTTTTTCATTTTTTTTATTTATGTCAACTGTATTAAACACAGGTGTCTTAGTATTTGCACTATTTTGAATTAAATTTAATGAAATTTTAAATTACAGCCTCATTCAATGAACTACATTACCTTTTACCTTAAGTTTGTTTTTAACTATTTAACTATGTTGCTTAAAAATATATGAGAATTTTTTTTTTTCCGGACGCTTAAGATATGCTGTGTTGGTAAATCATTTTAGCTTTCGGTCAATTTGGCCAGTGGGTCAAAAAGTTAGCTTTTAACCCTGCACATTACTATTACTATCAAAGATTTATTTGTATAGTAGTAAAAAAAAAATGACTCAATACCGTTTTCTCTCGTCTTTGCGGTCTGGTGTGTGGTCTTTTGTGAGTTTATTGGCATGTCCCTTCCTGCACAGCATCGCCCGGCTATCACCGACGCTGCCGACCACCAGCTCTATCCCATCATGCAGCAAAGCGACTGTTGCTGTTGTGCCTGATTTCAGAAACGATTCTAAAAAATGAAGAAAAGAAAAAAGAAAAACTTAAGCCACTGTTGTTTGGTGATTTGATTTTCAAACTATAACCAAGTTTGCAAATCATATTTTGAATGTGCACGTAATTTGGATCATTCAGTAAATGGTTTAGTAAAGCGGTTTACCATTGTTGAAGAAGCTTAGGTGTGTGTGTAAAGTTTTATCAGCATCTATAAAGGCTTTCTGTAAAACTTTCTCAAGATCTTGTTCTTCCTCCAAAGCGTCTCTGTAGGAAAACATCCAGGAATTTATAAAATTCAGTGGTCAAAATGTCGTATTTGGTAACTTATTGAGGAAATTGAATTCAACCTGATGAACTTCTCCATGAAGGTGCAGCAGTAGTCGGCAGCGTGTGGGCCGCCATGGCCATCGAATACGGCGAAGTACAGCAGGCTGTCATCAATACGGGCAATACGCAGTCTGTCCTCATTCTCTCTCCGGAGACCCAAAATAGACGCGCTGCCAACCCGAGACAGACTGATCTGAGAGGAAGACAAATATTACCCTCCATCTACTTGGATACAACAACATTGCTCTCAGAAGTTTGACTTTCTATTGTTTATCTGTTTGTTTACATATTATTCAATCAACTCTAAGCCGATTTTGAACTTGAACCATCTATTTAAACAAATTAATGGTTTGTATACCTGTTAGGGTTGTCACGATACTAAACTTTTCAACTCGATACCGATACTAGGGAAAATATTCGCTACTCGATACCATTTTCGATACCACAAGGATAAAAACAAAGACTCCAAAATTCAACAGAAATATTTTCATTAATAAATAAAATACAATAAATAAACACAATAAAGGTTGTATGCTCTGCATAATATTATGCAAGCTTGATAAAAAACTTATAAAATTCAAATTAAGTGTTCCTTCCTTGGCTATGCTTTGCACACATAACAATGACACCAGCCAAACCAGTTAAGAAACAAAAATAATTCTCAGCAGCTGCACCTCTTACAAAAAAAAAGTCTGAAACCGAAAAGAGCACAGAATTATTCCATCACACAGTGTTCAGAAAGTGCATTGTCCTCTATTCTGCACTTTAGATGAATGACTGCTTAGGTGCCACTGGTGACGGCACTGTATCGATACTTTTAAAAACAAGTATTGTATCCGGATACAACATTTCAGTATCGATACTTTTTTGAGTTTCGATACTTTTGACAACCCTAATACCTGTGGAATGGGTTTTCCATAACGGATACTTGAAGGCAGTAATATTGGTTCTTCTACACGGTTGTCCCAAATACCAAATGAGTCCCAGGTTACTGGCCGGCCACTGCCGTCACTGTCGAACCTGACCGAGCCGCTGGCCCGCCGCACGCCCACCAGCCCCAACAAAGGTCCACCAACCTGCATGAAACCCCAAAAAATCCTACTGTAAAGAAAATCTGCAATAGTCATAGATACTTTAGATATTTTATATTTTGTTAAATAACAACATCAATTATAAGTTAAATAACATCTTATGCATCTATTGATTATTTGGTCTTTTTGAGGATTTGGAAATCTTCCAACTAAATAACTCACACCTTATGATACCCCTAGGCCCCATTAGTATTCAGTACCTACTCCCAGCTAACTAGTCCTGAAGAATCTAGTAAGAATATTTTAAATACTTTACTGTTAGCTCAGTCAGTAGCCTGTAAAACCTGGACAACAAGATGGTGACAGCAGCATCTCATAACCGAGCCTTCTGACCCCATAGGTACAACTTCGGTACCTCAAAGGTACCCCAAGAACTGTTGTAGGTACTCTAAGCCTGAACAGCGTAAACCAAAGATACCTTGAAAGAATTAAAAAGGTACCATGCTTCTACCATGTCTTAACGTATCTAGTGATCCCCTCCTTCACCTGCGTGTGCATAGTTTTATACTCTGACTCAACCCTCTTCACCGAATTACAGGGTCTGACCAGGAGATAATGCTTCTCTTTAGGTCTTAATGTTCACAAATCATGACAGAAAGAATATTTTAGTACAAAGATTGATGTTTTTAAAAGGAATGTTAGGGGACCAGCCAAGGGCCCATCAAGGAAAGCAGGGAAATTTTGAATCGCTAGTACTGAAAGTACGGTACCTAAATATCAAGAAGGTACCCTTTAAGCATATTTTAGACTTCTTGGTTGGACCACATTTGTACTCATTAAATACATCATGAATGTAAAGTCATTTTAGTACTTGTTAGCTTTAAAATACTTTAAAATGTTTGCCTGTTAATACCATTTGGGTATACAGTTAGTAGCATTTTACCCTTCAAGTATTGGTACTTAAAGGGTAAAAATTCAAATCTCCTAAAGTCCTAGAAATGACCTACAAGGTATTATGGAAGTACCATATAGATATTCCACAAAGAATACCTATGATGTATACTTTTTGTTTTGTTCTTTACATTAACAACCACCTATTCCAGAGGCCTCCCATAGAAAATCCATATCCTATAGGTACCCAGTATGCATCCTATATACCCTAGCAGTTGTACGTATGAAAATAGTATAGGTATATAAAAAACATTGGGCAACTACTAAGAAAATAAGGTAATTTTCAATATGCAAGAGTTACCCAAAAAGGGCCAGATAGGTGCCTCATGGGATCCTTGTAAGTACAATTGCTCCCATTTAAGCATCCATTTCACATATGCATTTATGCATATGGTACCCTGTAACTGTCACAAGGTATTTTGTAAGTTACATGCAAGTAACCAGAGGTAACTCATAAAAAATCTGTAGGTATCCTATAAGAGCTCCCTATATACACTATGCACACCATGCATAACATCATTTCCTTTTAGGTGCATGTGTTACAAATAGGTAGCTGTTAACTACCATCATGTACACTGTAGGTACCTTAAAAGTTCCCTAAAGGAATCTTGTAAGGACCTTGTGATAACTAACTTCTACCAGAGGATGAAGGATCAAATGGGGAACTTTTGGATATGAAGTTGCAGACTGCCTCACTGGCATAACATCCTCATGCCAACCTAAGGTCGCCTCAAAACCCTAAAAAGAATAGCATGAGCCCATTATCCCCTGTGGGCTACTGTACGAAGAATGAACGTAAAACTCTCCTTGTCTAGAAATAAAGTAGTGATAACTGTTATGATAACCTGGCAATGAATTGTTATTTATATAGTTAAGTTTGTCTTAAATGATTCAACAGAATCATTTAAGACTGGGTAGACAGATTCACCTGCCCAGACTGAGTGGAGGCCTCCAGGGAGGATTGAACAGCGGCGAGGGTTTGTCTGCCCACGGAGAAGCGGCCACAGCGTAGAAGGTTAAGCAGTGCAGGAGACGACATGACTGACTGTCCTTAACAGCTGTAGACATTTTGCATGAAGGAATTAAACCAGGAAACTTTGCACATTTCAACATATATACCCCATGGCACCCCCATCATTATTACATTAATTACAAACATCCAACTTCTAACCTTTAAATATCGAGGGGTCTCTTATTTAGAAGGAGGCAGTAGTGAAATACGGATTCATCTATGAAATAAAAATCCTCTAAAGTATTGACATTAACAGGGATTACATTCCTCATACCCCTTATGAGCCCATTATTCCTTTTGTGTATGTTTGTTCCACAAATAGCCCTGCTGCTCAGCGTTTTCACCACTTCCTTTCCGTATCAGTCCCCTACAACAGAATCAGCTCTATAAATAGTCAGCCTGACCTATAAAACCATTTCTGCTTTGACTTTAGATTTTAAAAGCTTTATATAAAACTGATCCCCTTCAAGCGAGGTAAACTCTGAAGCTGTCACTATTTCCCATTTTCTGGTGAGGTAATTTACATTTTACTGGGCCAGATCGGATCACCTGCTGCTGACATAGTTGGACTGAAACTCCCTCCGCAACAAACACCATGGAAGTTTCTTGGTGAACTTGACCTTCAGAGTAGCTTCAATAACAAAAGCACGGGACTTGCTGATGACAAGACCTCAAAAAGCACATATGTTTTAACGGCTGAATATATCAGAATTTAAAGTCATCCGAAAAAATCATAAAAACTGAGGCTGAATAAAAATTGAAAATCAATTAACTATTTAAAAATTTAAAAAATAAAAACATTTTACAAAATTGGAAAGACCCAAAACAAAGAATTGATAGATAATTCTGTTTATTTCTTAAATAAATAAATAAGTACTTAAAATAAAAAGGTTCCTTATCAATATGTAGAAAATAAGTTTATTACATATATATAATTAAAATATAAATATTTATACATATCTCATTACATTCTTTCTTTTAAAGAAAGGCACTTTGAAAGGAAAAGTAAAATTAAAAAATGGCAAAAAAAAATACAAAAGCACATGTAAACCAACCTCTTCACGTCATTAACAGATAATTTTCCCGCCGTTTCAGTTTCCTAGGCAACAGGTGTCCAGCAGCTGCCTTGAGCAGTCAGTGGTGCTCGCCCTCTGATTATTCACCTCACCCTGAACTACTGGGAGGGGTTTTAACTACCCTGTAGCTGACCAATCAGAGCACGGCACATCCTGACGTCAGAAAAAAAAAAAAGTTCAAGTGTTCTTTAGCCTTATCAGGTTCAAACTGTTCTATCTTTAAAGCAAACAGATTAAAGCAATTTATTCCAACTATTTTGGATCAACAATGTATAATTTTATAATAATCCTAAAAGCATTATTATTATTAATATTAACCACTGTGTTTTTATGTATTTTTAGCCTGTGTGTCATGATGGGTTCACTAAAAGCGACCCAAGAATGCAGAACACCACTAACGGACACAGGGATGAAAGTTTAACAAGTTTATTATACACAAGCACACAGAATGTACTGGTTCTGGTTCGGGGCCTGGATACTGGTTCACCGGAGTCTGCGTGAGAGACAGTTCAGTTAGCGTTGCCAACAGAGGTTTGATTTCCAGAGGATCACTGATTGTACCTTGAGGGTTCTTGAGGTTAGCTTTGGGAGAGTCACTGTTGGATCTGGAGAGGAGTTCAACAGCAGAGTCCGTTTGCTGCTTCAGCGTCTCACGTCTACAATGAACAGACCTTGGTTTTGGGTTTTCCAGCTCTAGTCCAGAGCTGCTTGGAGGTTCTCTGAGATTCTTCAGGTTTGGCTCAGAGGGTCGGCTCGGCAGGTTAGCTCTTCCAGAGCTTTCACAGAGGAGACACAGGTTTCCTGGAAGACAGAGACAATAATTAGAATCCAGGCTGGATTCAAAGTCAAAGAGTTTCACTGAGGATCTAGGCTTAAGCGCTGACCAACTGGAACAACACTGCGGCGTTGAGGCAAGGTCTGAAGACAGATTAAGTAGTGGATCCTCTGATGGTCTTGATAAGCTGCAGCTGTGCAGGAGGCTCCCTCAGAGGATCCACGGCGGACTCTGCTGGAGAAAGGTGGAATTTCTCCAGCTCCCAACACTGTGTGGTTTTTACATCAAGGTTTTTTTGTGTGGCTATTCTCCCTGGTGCCCCCCCCCAAAAAAAAAAAAAATACATAAACATATGAAAACAAAAAACATAAACATACACATAAAAAAAATATTATAACCCACTGTTTATATTAATTCTTAGATAAAAGTATTCTTAAAAAAGTATACTTTCAAAGCATTTTATTTTATAAAATATGTTATGATAGTGAGGCTAGGAAATGTAAAACATTATGCAGACTGTTGATTAAATACCTTTAATGTGAGTTAAAATAGTTATTTAAAGACAGTTGGAGGATTAATGGTGACAGAGAATTACCTCCACATGCTGCATGGTTGAAACTTTGTATAACAAATAAAGGATTATTCAGCAAAAAAATAAAAATAATAATAATAAAACAAACATAGATAGGACTTTGGAATTTCACTAAAAATATATATATTTTTTGTTTCTCCAAAGCACTTTTCCTACTGCAAAAACAATCTAGAAAAACAGATTTCTTAAATTAAGTGTATTTACTCTTAATTTGGGTAGGTAAGTAAGAGGATTTGCCAATGGAATGTGTATTTTTATTCTTAAAATAAGATAATTAGATAAAACTCACTTGAAATAAGACAATGCAATTGTTATTTCTTATTATAAATGTAATTTGTCTTGTTCCATTGGCAAAGTGTCTAACTTACCTTTTCAGTTCAAGAAAAAATACCTATTTTAAGAAAAATTGACTTATTAAGATTTACATTTTTTGCAGTGTAGATATGCGCTATGAGGTGAAACAGAAAATTAGATTAACCTGAACTGCAAATAAAGCACTGGTTTTATAAAATGGTTGTTTCGCGTTCTTCTGTTTAAAAAAGTTGTACATTAAAACTGTGTTAAATGGTTAAAAAAGATAGTAAAGACTAAATAGAAAACAAGAAAACAGCTGAAGAGTTTGTAATGAACCTTTATTAAATACATCATCCTTACAGTGTGTTCCAGTGCATGTAAATAAAACATAGTGGAGTTTCCGTTGTTAACATGAGCGTCATTTAAATGTTTCTGAATTATTTAAATAAATGATGAAGCTCCATCAGCAGCATCCAAGGGAGCAGAAGGAGTTACAAAACAGGCTGGGTAGGTTCAGGGAGGAAGAGGAGATGGAGACAGAGGGGGGGAAATGAAGGGACGAAGCAGGGAGGTTTGATTTACATTCAAGGTCCTAAATATCAAAAAATAAAAGCAGACAGGGAAAATTCATGAGGCTAGAGGAAGGTGTCAGAGGAACCATTACTGTTAGATTACAGTAGCTGCTAAAAAGTAATGCCGGAAAGAAGAAACTAAAGGAAACATTTAGGGGAAACTCAAGGGAAAGCTATGTTGATAGTAGAATAAAACTTGTACAAAGTGGAAAATATGAAATTCAAAGGAGAGCTTAGTTAAAACGGAAACAAGAAAAAGCAGAAGATGATTTAGGTAAGAAGGAGACTGAAAGAAAAGCTTAAGAAGGCCTCACAAGAGGAAGAAAATGGAAGGTAAAAACTGGGACAAGAAGTCAAGAAAATGTAGAAAGCAATTAATTAAAGAAAAGAAAAACAGAAAGGAAAGAAATAAAATGCGAAAGAAATGGGAAAGAAAAATGAAAAAGAAGTGAAAATTGATAAAAACAATGGAAATGGAAGTGACAGGAAAATAAAGGAGACGAAACGTCTTTAAAGCAAATTATCCACTCTCCGACTGGAAGCTTTTTGCCCCAGCTTGAGTGCTTTGTGCAGAGTTTCATAAAAGAGAAATTGGATTAAATATTTAAAAGGAATGGAGCTGCTGTCCTCTTAGCTCCACATCAACAACCCTAGTGGCTTAAAACTGAATATGTAACACCGGAAGACTGAGGTACTGACCCATTGTACTGTTTGAGAAATAGACACATCTAAACATGTGCTAACATCACAGGATGTGGTCTACAGTACACGTTAGTTTGACTCTCTACTATATTATAACACAAAAACCTGAACAGTGGAAAAGATTAGGAACAAGCCTTAGTGATTTTCTTACAAAAATTACTCCATTAAATTGCAGGGGAATATTCCTTTTCGCTACATATTTATTCAAGATTAATGTGCCATAGCTTGGAATTTTCATGACTGTCAGGGCCAAGTGAAGAATGCTTTTATGAAAAATCATCAGACAAAAGGGCAAGTATCCTGAACTCTTCAGACCGGAGCACTTTCTTGAGGCTGAGTCAAATATTTGTTAAAGGTCTCTTTTCCAGGCAGTGCCCTCGTTGACTAACTTTATGTGTGTTTAAAGTCATAGGGAAGTCATATTTAAATGTCAAATAATTCTGCTTCAATATATAATATATAAATGTACTCTTTATCAGACCATATTGTCCCAAACGAAAAAAATCCTGTCTTAAAATCTGTGTTTTTTTTCTTCATTATCTTATGCAGGCCAGTTAGTTATACGTCAGCTTGTACACCTAAATTCGGCCAATCATATATCAACGGTCATCTGTCAATCAAATTTTTTCAGTCATAGCATCTTGATTCATATGTCACTGCTGATATACGCAACAGTTGAAATAAGAAACACAAATCATTTACTTTCCCATTGAGTTCCGTCCCAGTGTTCAAGGAGATGTATGTCTTATCTTCAGCAGGCTTAGAGCTAACAGAACTGGCAGCGTTGCGAGGCAAGGGCTGAAACATGTACGGCTGGAAGCCTTCTACACCAAACCAAGCTTCTGCCGCCCTGGCTGTCATGATCTCGGCGCTGATGGTTTGGTTTTTTCCTTTGCTCCTTGCTTTCCTGTCTAATTGGTTCTGCGGCTGATTATCGCCGATCATTTCCACCTGGTTCCTCTACTATTTAAGTTGTGTGTTTGCCTCCCATCAGCGCCAGGTTATTCTTGTGTTTTTGTGATACGTTCCCCAGCAATCTGTAGTCTGCCTGTTTCCCTGATCTTGACCAGTTTCTGCCCTGAGGGTTTCGAGTTTTTGCCTTGCCCCTGTCTGCTCTGTTTGTCCTGTCTGATCCTGGATTCTACCGGCTTCTGAACCATGAACTGTCTTCTGACTTCGGCCTTGGATTTCCCTTCTGGACTCTGTTGCTGCTCGGCGTCTGCTGCGCGCTCTCAAGGAACTCTGGGGGCGTCTCCCGCCACAACTGCGGTCAAAGCTCTGCAAACGGACTGAACTTTGAATCAGGTCAGTGACTTTGCTCCAAGTCGTGTTAAGCTCCATATCCAGTCACTGATCTGTATTCTCCCATTTCTGCAGAGATCCGCCCCGCAGCAGACGAGCAGCCCCACGCACCTGTTTTATTTAATAAACGCTTTGAACTTTCCCACTGCCTGTCTTGCCTCAAATTCTGAGTCCTACATTCTGAGATCATTACACTGGCGTCCTCTTCCACAACATCTTCGTCCCCACTTTCCTCCTCTAAATAAAAAATGTATGACAGAGGAGACTCATCCATGACCTCCGACACAAAACTCTCCTCCTCTTGCATGTTTCCGCTGTCCCTAGCATTCCTTGACAGTGTCGTTTCTAAGTCACCAAGTTAGTTCTACTTGGTCCCAATGTAATTTCCCATTGGGAACCTGATAGCACTAAGATGCTAACTGGTTAGCAAGATGCATCTGACAAACCTGCCACAACCAAACTTGCTTGCGAACCTTCCGCCAAAACAATCCCGCCCCCTTGATAATCAACAAATCACATTCACTTTATTCACTCGTGTAAAGTCGGGCACCATTCGGGAGAATTTGGAACTGCAACGGTTGGAAGAGCCGTTACTCTACGACTTTAAATCAAATATGGGAAACAACAGGGATGTTCTATAATTTTCCTGAACTAAATCCAGCTGAGAGCAACTAAACTCGTGTTTGAAGTTGGTGAACCTCCTTGATCAATCTCAGTCCATCACGGTGGACGCCTTGACGCAGCAACCAAGAAACTTTCTCCGTCTCTTCTTCAGCTTGCACCGTGTGAAGCTGTTGTTGGAACAGATGGACTTCCTAAGTATCCGAATGTGTCTCTCCTTCTCTCGGATTTTCATCTCCAGGTGGGACTGGATGGCCGTACCAAGAGATTCTAGGTCTACAGAGGCACCATAAACCTCCCAAGTCATCCCTTGTTTGTCCCACAATACCTCTGGAGGCTTTTCAGTCTGCCCTTTAAACCCATCCTCGTTCGCTTTGTTGGCCTGTGAGTTTTTCTCATTGTTTTCCTCCTCCCAGATGCTCTCAGAGCTAACATCTGGGTCTTGTCCAATCTCTGACATTAGTTCAGGGTTTTGGTGGAAGCTATAAGTGCACAGACACGCAGGAAGGGAACTCGCCTTTTCAGGTACAACAGAGGGAAGTATTGATTGGCTGCATAGCTCAATCTCAATCTGGCAAACATGTTTGAGGGGTGGAAGGTAACTAAGTGATGACTGACAACTGGGGGAACCAATCAGGGATGAGGTGAGAGGTCCCTGTTGGAGGCTGGGGCTTGTAGAGACAGAACGTTCAACCACTTCCACCTCTACCTGAACGGCCACCTCTTTCCGCTCTCCTGAAAGTTTTTGGAGTCTTTGAGACTCAGTCTTGGCTGCAGTCTCCTTGACGTTCTTCTTAGTTGGTGCATGAGTAGATGAAGAAGAAATGGGATGAAGAGGTGAAGAACAATTCACTTCATTCTTCTTTCCATGAACTGGCATTTTCTGCTTTTGCTCTCCTACATTAGTTGCCCGAGGTGATGAGATGATATTTGTGTCTCTTGGGTGTTCCATTTTCCTCAGGCGATCTAATTCCCTCCTACTATCTCCCAAAGGACATTCCTTCTCAATATTCTTGTCCTCTTGGGATATTTCCAACCCTTCTTTAGTCTGCACCTTATTCTCACTAGATCTTAAATGTTTTCTGACAGCATTATTGTCTAGTTTTGTGATTGAGTCAAAGGTAAGACCTCGGGTCAGACAAGTATTTCGGGGTGAAATGCCAGGGTCTCTTTTTATAACTGCAGAAACTTCAGAGGTATGTGTTAACCCTTCCACTGTTTTCGAGGTCACCACAGGTCTTGTTTTAGGACTAGAAGATGTCAAAGGGGCCAGTGTACCTGAAATGAAAGCAAAATGATCTGTCAGAAAAGGTGCTTGATGCTTTTCAAAGCAACTTGTCTGATAAAGTTGGAAAGCATAGAAAGTGTGTAAATGTGTTCCAATCTAATGTGCTGGTAAACTCTAAAAAAAATTTTAGTCTGCAATTGGCTTATTTTGCTACTCAAAACTTCCTTGATTGAAAATTACATCAACTCTAATTGACTCATTGTCAACTAAGGGCCTGATCTTAAAAAATGTCATATTGCTAAATTGCAAGTACCACTTTTATTTCAGTATGTGCAATGAGTGGGAGTGTTTTGGGTAATCTACAAAGATTGTTACAAATTTTCAAGACCTCCAAACTATTTCTGTTCCATCCATTAAAATGAACAGATTGCAAGCTGTAAAGCTGTATTTGTCTATTGACATACAAACAGATTAAACCAGGTTTTTGCTTTAGCGTCTAATAAAACATAACAGTGTCTTGTGCTTGGTTAGATTTTTACTATATTGAGAAAGAAATATTTTTTTCATCTTTTACATACATGCTACAATATTTAAGTTCTGTCAGATTTTTCTTATTTTTGCTTGTGTCAGGTTTGTCTAACTGTACAAATATGTTTATCTCAGCATATGTCATTGCACCACTTCCTCCTTTGCGGAAACAATCACCACAGATATTTTTAATTGAGTTTTTGATTTGGAATATCTTTTTGCATTTTGAAAATGGTACCATTTACACATCCTCAACCCATGAATTTGTGCCATTTGGTCATTCGAATATGATCTGCATTTTGGCGAAGCCAAACACATACACAAAAAAAATGGTTTGCATACATGGTCTGCTGAACGGCAAACACCAATCACTTTGCACCTTCTTTGACGATCTAATCTGCACGTACAAACACGTGGAAGGTGTTTTAGGACACGCAAACCTTCTTTACATCAGGCACCAAGTGTTTTGCTCTGGTATGGTCATTCAATATGGCTGCCGAGCCACTGTTCAAGAGTTAAATTGAGGAAAAAAACCTAGAAATGTTTGATGCCAGCTGTTATACTCCATTATATAGTTGGATCTGGGGTGTCTCTACACAACTGCATGGTTTCTGATTAGATGAGATCTAAAACCCAGATCCTAAGTACTTGCAACAAAACCTCAAAGTTTTTTAGACACTTCAGATAACCTTGGTGACTGAGTCTCTATAAAACATTTCAAAACACAGGCACAGGCCTTATACAGAGAAAAAAGTTCAAATCATTTGTACTACTAGAGTCGGGTGATAAAGACCCTACAGATGTAAGAGGTATCTCCACACCCTAAAACAAGTTGCGCAAAAAAATCTTAAAGGTTATGACTGAAATAAAGTTTTACCTTGCTTCTGTTGTATTTTGACGCTTGGATTGTCATTACCTGGAGAAGAACTTGGGCTCTTCTGGTTCTCCCCGTTTGATCCAGTTGAAGTAGAAGCAAAGTGTTTAGAGCTGGATCCTGGATTCTGATATGCTAGTACAGGAGAAAGCCTCAAAGAGGACAGGTCGATGGGCGTTGACTTTGAATCAGACTGAACCTGTTCAGATCTTGATGGATCTGACTGATTGTACTGACTCTTCAGATTCAACCTGAGCTCAACAGCAGAACTTGCAGTCTTGATGCTTCCGCAAGAGATGGGGGAAAAGGAAACACCCCCGAGAAGGTCCATATCTAAGGAGGAGGTCGGCAGATTAGCTAGAGAAGCTGTATTGGTAACGCCCATCTTAGGTTCAGATCCTGAGCTGGTAATGATTGTGGGATCAAAACTTGCTCTGGAGCTTTGAAGACTTTTAGAATCATGATTATTCTTTGAGTTCGTCATTTTGGAAGCAGCCGTTTTCTCAGAATCTTGGTGGATTTTATTGCTTTCTTTTGAGGTTTTCTGATCATGCATATCTTTAAAAACAGTTTTTAGCTTAGGGTTTGGACTAGCTTTGGATCTCTGGAGCTTCTTTAACTCCAAGCCGTCCTTAGATTCCACGCTACTTTTTGAGGCACTGCTGCTTTTGGAATCCAGTGCATCTCTGGACCCAGACTGAGATCTGGATTTGGAATCCAGACTATTTTTGGATCCTTTTGTTGCTTTCAGGCTTTTAATAGATTGGACAGCAGTTTTGGATCCAGAAATTGCCTTTGAATATTTACCCTTAAGACTCTCCTTAGACCCTGATACGTTGTTGTTTATGGTCCCTGTAGGTTTTGCCAGTAAGGATGGCTTTGGACTCAGAGAGGTTTCAGAACTTGTAAAAGCACCTTGAGCTTTGTTAACATCCTCAAGTTGTTGGTCAAATGGAATAGTTGAATTGACCAAATCAGTTTTTTTGGTTTTGGCCATCATCATTGGGGTATGATTTGTAATTTGTGGGCTGATATTGCTTTTATCCCCTTTTTTGTTGAAGAACTTCGGGCTTTTAGGTAGCTGTAGTGTTTTGGATGATGTCTCAAGGTGAATTTCTTTAACATGTCCATCTTTCCTGTTTGCTTTAGTCTTTAAGTTTGGTGTGACATTTGCAGAGTTTGTTGTCAATTCTGGCATTAGTTCAGGGATTGGTTTAGCATATTCTCTTAGAGGTATTTCAGTTTTAACTTTTTCCATAGGTCTTTGGCTGAGATTCCCCTCCACACTGTTTGGTTTGGAACTTAGTGCTGCTGAGCCATGTATTTGTATCTCGGATGTAGAGGGATTCTCAGTGTGTGGATATTTAGGCTTGCCTTTGTTTTTGACAGTAGTCTGAGTTGTTTGCGAGCCAGAAAAGGTTGGGATTTTGCTCTTCATTTTTTCAGCTGGTAAAATAGTTGAAAAGTCCACAGCTATTGCTCCTTTATTACCAGTTTTCCCCCCTCCTTTACTTTTATCGTCCTTTTTACTCCCAGAATCCATCTTGGAGGTCTCTTTAGTGGGGCGAGGATTGCTTGGTGAGCTTATATTGAGATTAAGATTGAAGTTTGGTTCTGTATCCCAGCTTTTGTTTGAATCCGTGTTCACTGGAGAATATGAAGCTTCTGCTGGTTCTGGAGCATCACATTCTTGTTGGAGAAGATCTTTTCTTCGTTTCATGATATATGGGGGATAAAAACTGTGATCCCCAATGCATCTAAAGACAAAAAAAAATCTTAAAATTATCCAACTGAAGATCTGCACCTGTATTAAAAGATGAGAGAAATTATCAAAATCACAAACTTTAAAAAACATCTCAACTATTGATGTTAGCAGGTTATGAAACATGAAATATTTATCCAACACTAACAGTATGTCTACAGTTGCTTACAAGATAGTCCCTGATCTTTAAAACATTATATTACTGGATGAAGCATAGAAGATCAAATAACAAAAACTATGTTTAGAAATGTATTAGTTATATTCATACCTATTGAGGCTCTGCAGTCATCAGTTATGGCGAATTAGAGGTTGAATTTGGAAATCCTGCCCAGTTGAAAAGCAAACGTTTAGCTGCTCTGTTTTGTTCCTCCTCAGCGCTCCAGAGGAGGCAGCAGTGAATAAATTAATAGCAGATGCAGTGAAAGAGCTGAGAGCGGCTTTTGCTCCTCCTTCTTCTCTTTTTTTATTATTAATTTTCTTTAACCTTTTATGTATTAAGGTGTGATGCAATGTTTTTCCTCCAAATGTATTTGCTCTCCCAGTTTCACCTCTTAAGGGTATTTTCTTCTTTTTGTCTTTGGCGTTAGATGAGGTAAAATCTTTAACGTTGAGCTCATGAAGCTCAGCTGTAAATGTCCCGTGCTTTGATATCAGCAGGGATCTTTTTCTATGACATTTTGCTGTTGAAGCTCAGGGGGCCCTGAGCCGTAGGCCCTGTAGGCCGGGCGTCCAGAACGTTACTGCAGGGCAGAAAACAGACGAAAGGGGATCGCATGAATGCTTAAAAAAGGAAGTTGACTTTTCTTACACCTAATGTAACTTTTTTTTCTTGAATTAGTGTTGCTTTAGAGGCGTGAGTTGGTTTCTTAATTCTGCACCGCATGATAAAAAACCTCTACCGTGTCAGAAATACTTATGAATAAAAGCTCTTTGAGAAAGAAGCAATAGGGCTGGAAGCATGGATGAAATTTTGCTTTTAGTAGTGGGAGTGATGCAAGTATTGTTTAATATAACTAACTTTACGGTGTATGACCATCTAATCACGGACCCGATTCAGTGGGGCATCAGATGTTTGCAAAGGGAGCTTCTCAGGAGTGACAGTGGTGACAGCCAGTCACGGTGAGCCAATCAGGAGCTTGTGGGCAGCCTTAGCTCAGGGAAGTGGGCTTCAACTGGAGCTGCAGTTTTCCGCTTGGTCCTAGTGCTCGACTCATTTTTTGGATGGTAAAAAGTGCAAGGGACCAAAACAGAGATTTGAAGAAGTGCGGCGGACATGCGCCCCCCTGCCCCAGCCCCCCAAAAAATTAGGTCCATGCCTGGAAGACTCTCTTAAATAGAAAAACATTTGGGTAGGTGTGCAGCAAATATTGTTTCTTCTCTCCTGATGTTTATATGGCTCTAAGGACAATTAATGAAAAAGTTCTGAAAAAGAATATGCTGGTGAAAAATCTCTGTCATTCAGGTAATAGTCATTCTAAAAAAAAAACAACATTAAATTAAATTCACCTATTCAGCAAGGCCAACAATTCCCTTTAATGACCCCCCCTTTCAGACACTTAGACGGGTATGGGGCATCGCAGGCTAACAAAAGAAGCCAAATGACCCCCATACCAAGGGGGTGGACCCGTTCGTCTGTTTAAATTTGCATGTTTTCCAAACAAAAAACAAGGTTTTCATGGGCTCCTGTATAAAACCTCCAACTCAACGCTATTTCTGATATTTTGAATTGAACAGGTTTTTTGGATGGGAAGCGAAACATCTTCAAACTTAGACACCCTGTCTGTAAGAAGGAGCGCTACCGCAGGTCATTCATTCCTGCTGCCACCAGACCCTATAATAATGCACTATAACCACAATAACTCCTGTAAAAACCACTGTACAGCTACATTATAGTTTTTTATTTATTGACTGTGCAATATTTTGTGCAATATGCTGAATGTGCAATATATGTGAATAGAATAGTCATACCACTACCTCACCGTTGTTCCTCACCTACTACACTTTAATCCACCTGTATATAAGCTATCTGGATAGTACATATTTTTCTTTTTTTTCTTATTTCTTATTTTTATTTTGTCTTTCATTGTGTGCGACACAGGTATACTTGCACCTTAATCCTTATTTATCTTGATATACTGTATATATTGTTTATTATGCACCTTTTTCCTCCTTGTTTGCACCTTCTTTGAGTTCTATGCCAATATGTGACAAGTGAATCTCTTCGCTGTGAGATCAATATAGCTCATCTAATTAATCTAATCGAATCAAACTTGGAAACAAAGTCCAGTGGATTGTTTTTAATTTTCTTTTTTTGGAATTCTGAAAAAGAAGCTATGCCTACATGACGGGGAGCCCATTAGACACCTAACTGAGGATTAACATAATGTTGCATGCTTAAGTTACAGAACCTGAAGAGAGAATCACTGCTTAGAGCTGATCTCAGAGTTACATCATTGACATTTCATAATGTAAAATCCTTTATTGTCCCACAATGGGGAAATTCACTCTCTACATTTAACCCATCCCCTTGGGGAGCAGTGGGCTTCCATTGTGTGGCGCCCAGGGAGCAGTGTGGAGTTAAGGGTTTTGCTGAGGAACCTTGTGGAGATCGAACCGGGTACTTGCAACCTTCTAAGGGCACAAGCACACTCCTCCAAACAAGTTACATCTTTGACATTTCTTTTAAATAATTAGAAAACAGAATGGGTGATTTAAAGCTGCAGGGTTTTAGAGAGACAGATTACATTACAGGCCTACCGTAATCAAGGTTTAAAATGCATTCCTTTTAAAAAGTAAACAATAATTCACTTCAGTTCACTAAAGTAACATTCAGAGATTCAATTCTTAACCTAACGGATGCTGGATCTGATATTTGGTAAGCTGAGCGACTGGGACATTAGAAATAAGCTCTCATCTTAACAGTTTTTCTGTGCTGAGGATGACATATTCACTGCTGCAGAGATCATCTGGGACTCAAAGACACATCCTCACCTGGAGGCATCAGATTGTCTACAGAGACAGATGTATGCGTCAGTCAATACCCAACAGGTAGAGAATGCCACTTTGATCCAAATAGAAAATACACCCATTTTAATGTGGGTAATGTTCATGGTGCAGTGACTGCCCAGGCGTGGCTCGGTTGAGTAGTAACAAATAGTGCTTAGTAGATGAGGCCTGGTGAAGAAGTGTGACACATTCACTATTATATCATGAGTGCTCTATACTGACACCTGCTGGATCTTAGTCACTATTACAGGCTAGTTATTCGATGACCCATTTTACAGTGGTTTTCAAAGTGGGGGCCGCCAGAATGGGTGCTAATGGGGCCCCAGAAAAATTCTTAAAAAGCCTCTGCATTGTCATGAAATATATTAAATAATAACTATTATATAATACAGCTTTTAAAAGTATGTTTTATTGACATGTAAAACATGTTATATTGAGATCTAAAACTCTTATTTAGTTAAGATATTACATAGAGTCTGGCCTTACACCTTTTTAAGATACTCAGAACAGAACAGAGCTGGACTACAAGTGGACAACTATGTTAATGGCTCACGTTAAGCTCTCACATAAGCTATAAAGGGTTTTGATTTAATTAATAAAAACGTCGATCCATTTTCTGTCCCGCTTATCTCAAGCAGGGTCGCCAGGGCTGCTGGTTCCCATCTCCAGCTGTCTATGGACAGGTTGCAATCCATCGCAGGGATAAAAGTGTTTAAAGGTTTTTTATTCAGTAGGAATATAACACAATGTAAAAAACAAACAAACAATATATATATATATATATATATATACATATACATATATACATGTATACATATATATACATATACATGTATATATATACATATATATACATACATATATATATATACGTATATGTATGTATATATATATATATATGCATATATATATATACATATATATAAATACATATATTTATATATACATATATATATATATATATACATATATACATACACATATATAAATATATACATACATATATATATACATATACACATATATACATATACACATATATACATACATATATATACATATACATGTATATATATACATACATATACACTCACCGGCCACTTTATTAGGTACCCCATGCTAGTAACGGGTTTTGCCTTCAGAACTGCCTCAATTCTTCGTGACATTGATTCAACAAGGTGCTGGAAGCATTCCTCAGGGAGTTTGGTCCATATTGACATGATGGCATCACACAGTTGCAGCAGATTTGTCAGCTGCACATCCATGATGCGAATCTCCCGTTCCACCACATCCCAAAGATGCTCTATTGGATTGAGATCTGGTGACTGTGGAGGCAATTTGAGTACAGTGAACTCATTGTTATGTTCAAGAAACCAGTCTGAGATGATTCCAGCTTTATGACATGGAGCATTATCCTGCTGAAAGTAGCCATCAGAAGTTGGGTACATTGTGGTCATAAAGGGATGGACATGGTCAGCAACAATACTCAGGTAGGCTGTGGCGTTGCAACGATGCTCAATTGGTACCAAGGGGCCCAAAGAGTGCCAAGAAAATATTCCCCACACCATGACACCACCACCACCAGCCTGAACCGTTGATACAAGGCAGGATGGATCCATGCTTTCATGTTGTAGATGCCAAATTCTGACCCTACCATCCGAATGTCGCATCAGAAATCGAGACTCATCAGACCAGGCAACATTTTTCCAATCTTCTATTGTCCAATTTCGATGAGCTTGTGCAAATTGTAGCCTCAGTTTCCTGTTCTTAGCTGAAAGGAGTGGCACCCGGTGTGGTCTTCTGCTGCTGTAGCCCATCTGCCTCAAAGTTCGACGTACTGTGCGTTCAGAGATGCTCTTCTGCCCACCTTGGTTGTAACGGGTGGTTATTTGAGTCACTGTTGCCCTTCTATCAGCTCGAACCAGTCTGGCCATTTTCCTCTGACCTCTGGCATCAACAAGGCATTTCCGCCCACAGAACTGCCGCTCACTGGATGTTTTTTCTTTTTCGGACCATTCTCTGTAAACCCTAGAGATGGTTGTGCGTGAAAATCAGAGTAGATCAGCAGTTTCTGAAATACTCAGACCAGCCGCTCTGGCACCAACAATCATGCCACGTTCAAAGTCACTCAAATCACCTTTCTTCCCCATACTGATGCTCGGTTTGAACTGCAGGAGATTGTCTTGACCATGTCTACATGCCTAAATGCACTGAGTTGCCGCCATGGGATTGGCTGCTTAGAAATTAAGTGTTAACGAGCAGTTGGACAGGTGTACCTAATAAAGTGGCCGGTGAGTGTATATACATATATATATGAGCGGCAGTTCTGTGGGCGGAAATGCCTTGTTGATGCCAGAGGTCAGAGGAGAATGGCCAGACTGGTTCGAGCTGATAGAAGGGCAACAGTGACTCAAATAACCACCCGTTACAACCAAGGTGGGCAGAAGAGCATCTCTGAACGCA